TTACCTATATACAAAAAAAAATATTGATAAAAAATAATTTATTTCTTTACTAATAAAGTCTTAACACTATCCCTAAACCAATTTAAAGTTTTACTTTAAGAGATATTTCTATATTCCCTTTCTTATTTTTTAACGAGTTATGATCGATGTCTATTCAGACTTCTAGAAAGATTCTTTGGCTGGGCATTAGCTGTTCTATACTTTATAATGTTCTTTATTTCTCGTTCCGCCAACAAGCACCGTCAAAAGTATGCTAAATCAGCTCAAGCCCAACAATTCTCTCCGGAGATAGGCACAAATAATTATGTTGTTAACACCGGAGGAAGTTTGTGCTGTAAAGGCGAAAAGGACGATGCGGGCAGCAGCGTATATGAAACTTCGACACCATTAAGCAATTACGCCGGCACTACCGAAGCAAGCGAGAAAATAAATAATTATAATGAATCTCATGCATCGGGACAAAATCATGGTTTTTTAAATGTTTCATACCCGCCACCATCTGCATCACCAAGTTCTTCATCATATTCATCACCAACACCGCCATCTACGAGTAATAACATGGTATGCTACGAAAATCAAGAATGTTGGAAACAAAAATAATTGAAATATTCTACAGATGAAAGAGTGTTATGATAAAAATTAATGCTTACAGGAAACCAGAAATCCAAATACCAAGACGGCATCATAGTAACATATTATTCCTTCCGAAATATAACTGTTGTTATTTAACAAAGACAATACGAAATAATTAATCGACTTTTTTTTTTCAATAGAAAAATTTGTCTTAAAGAAACCTCACCGTTCCGAGCTAAAATATCCAAGATATAAACTAATATCACTTTCATTTTGCCAGTCTATTATTAGGAGTATTTCTTTAAAATAGTCGTGGGTCGATAGAAAGAGCATATTTTTTTTAAACAGAAAATGAAGGACTTTGAGGTCAGAAGAGTAATTTTTTATAAATCACTTGTATTCCCTAAGGAAATATCGATCATTAAAGAACAAATTACAGACTTTGCAAATTTCTCTCTATTTACCATTACTCCATTTTCTTTTGCGATGGCTTCCGAAGCAACATTAAGAGTGATACATGTCATAT